AGCCCTCGAAAAAAAGGCGCCCTACGGTAGTTTATACAGGAGTCAATGGAGCTTGCAACATGTTGCATGAAATAGAACTGTTTCCTATTTTATGCAGCATGTTGCAACCTCCATTAATTCCTGTAAAAACTTTGTTGCATGCAACAAGTTGTTTACAACAAATGTTGCATGGTGTATGCACGTGACTTTATATGGCTGTAATGTTTTACTCAATAACAAAGAGAAAAGATTCAGAGAGAAGGTCAAAGACAATTAGAAAAAACAAGAATATAATATTTGATCATAGCTTATATAGGTACTAAGAGACAGGAAGTGCATTCCATCATGCACCACATTACAATAACACAATAATGAAACAATAATAGACTAATAATACAATGATAACAATAATAATAATAACAACAATAACAATAACATAAATACATTGCAATGGCAGATACATTAGCAATGCAATATAAATTCAAATTTCAATATTTTCATTGAAAGTGGGAGTGGTCACAAATAAAAATGGTGACCAATGGAAAGAATTTGCGAATTTGTGAGTTTTCTAGCAGCAAGATAAAGGAAATACACTGTCCATAGACTTCTACAGCAGCTTGAGAAGGTTATAGGTTCATTCAAAAAACTATAAAAGTTGTCTTTATTTATTATGTTAATAACGCGGTAGCGTTACTAAGTAGGATTCACCCCCAAACAAAATGGCTGCCACGACTTTTGCAGCCTTGCTATACCTGGAAAAAGAGCTCCTATGCTTACTAGACTTTATAGAGGACCTTATCTTGACCAGAGGACTCCAATGGTACAACTAGCGTGGCTCTAGACCTTGTCTAAGCGAAAAGTCAAAAATCGGCGAACCGGCTGTTTTGTTCAGCCACCTTTTTTCATCTTCATCATCATCATCTTCATCATCAAGTCCTGTCAATCCAGTTGTCGGTGTGTATCTCAGTATTAGTCGGTGCTACAAGAATAATTCTTACACCAATCTACTCCAACAGTCTATGCGCAGGTCCATGTCCCATCAGATCATTCTTCAAGTAGGAAAAAGTGATACTGTGACTGCTGGATCGAGCCATCTTAGCTACATGCCGCCATTTTGTTAATTAAAGAAGCTTGCCATTAGAGGTGGGCGATACGATACCAAAGTACTCATATATCCGATACCAAGTACTCGATACCAAATCCTGGTATCGAGTAGTGATTAACCACGCCCTACCACACCTATTTTTGACGTCATAATTATGACTACGCCCTTTAATAATTACAAAATGGCGGCTTGTTTTATTTCATTTTTATTAATAACTAATTATAACTTATTTGCGCATGCGCAGTAGCTAACTACTCATTCACTACTCGATACCATTGATACTGAGACTCAGACTACTTGGTATCGGTATCGATTCAAAATTTCTGGTATCGCCCACCTCTACTTGCCATGTGCTCCAAAATTTGGGTGTGGTCGCACATGCTCAAATGCAGATCTGCAGCTCTGGAAGAAGCAAGTTATTTTTTTACCAAGCTATGCTTGGAATCAACTTACTGCAATACTTTAGTGGAGGTTTCCAGCTAAAAGAAAGTATTGATTTTACATGTTACTGTTTTATCAAGTGTGTTATTTTATTTTATTTTGAAAAACTAACAATTAATTAATGTTATGACTTATGATATGCAATGATAATTATGAACTTG